CATTCATGTGGAGGCAACTGTTCTCAACAAGGTTAGTACAGTAATTACATTTGTCCATCAATAAATAAGAATTATGCATTAGAACTGGTGTTAATGGAGGAAATGTGAGGGAAATAGAAACTAACAAAATCTCTCCAGCATACAGAGTCAGCCACCATGAATGGCCCAAACAGTTAGCCTGATGTAAAAATGACAGACCACTATAAGTGCTCAGTGTTAAGATATTTAGGTACAGTGGTCCCTCGGTTAACGAGCGCCTCGGTTAACAAGATTTCGGTTAACGAGTTACCTCCCATAAGATTCTTAACTTCGGTTAACGAGCAATCCCTCGATTAACGAGTTTTTTACGAGCCAACCTCAACATGTTTTCGCTTGCATTTGGCGGTCCACCAGCTGTAGTATTAGTCCGCCAATACAGTAATCGGTTCTAGGACTTATATTCCTTACAATTTTAGTAAATATCAAGAAGTTTATACTATTCAATAATTTTAAAAGTTTAATATTAAATTTTTTAGTCATTTTAACAATTACTGAACATAATTGAAGGTAAGGAAACTAGTTTTATGCGCGCCATCCAGCCTGTCAACACACCAAACATGCGTCAGTCTTTGTGTCTTTTCAGTGGAGGTAACATCTTGCTTGAGACTCTCTTCAACTAAATGCTTTTTTTCTGTGTTTGCAAGCAAATTATTGGTCATTTTGAAATTTATTTTACATATTGTCAATATATAATGCAGTGCAGTGTTGATTTAAAGAAAATAATCTTGAATTACACCAAGAGAAATAAAATTTTATGGGTGAAATGGCACCATGGGGTGACTTCTCTTCCACCCCAATGCCTTCTCTTCTCCCTTCTCCTCCACCCCCATTCTAATTCCCATCATCACCATCATCCAGGAGCCTTCTACATACACACCTCAAAGTAAGTGTACTTTTCCACCTTTTTTGTTGAATTTAAGCAATTTTCGGTGAGCTGGAACCAATTACCCAAAAACCCAATGAAACAATGGTTTCGGTTAGCGAGTTTTTCGGTTAACGAACAACCTTCTAGAATGGATTGTGCTCGTTAACCGAGGGACCACTGTACAAATCTATACACTATTGGTAACCAGATCATTCTGTTTATCTTACACACACATAATGTACAACCACACCAAAAATTATGTAAGGTGCACACTAATATTTTACCCTCTGGCGGTTTTTCTTTGAACTGGGTTATTTTTATAATATTTTATTTTTAATTATTCAGAACTTGAACTTTTTATTTGATTACCTTTTAACCCTAGAACAGTAAAGGGGGGCCCAAACAACCCACCCTAAAAATCAACTTGCTCCATTTCACTAAGATGAGTGCATTGTAGCAACCTGCCACCCCATCTAGCTGCATTATTCCACAAGACATCCCAGAGGCATCTTGCTTAGCTCCATTCCCAGAGATATGTACAGTATCTGGTACCTTTCTAAACTCACTAACCACAGGAGACCACTGTCACGAGAGTCAGTGACCCACTAAAGAAGCAAGAGGTAGGTTCGACCAGGTGTTGCTCTCATGCCACCTTATCACCCATATCTCAAAACATGTGTCTCTAACCTTCAAATCCCTAAGGCTCAGCCATTTATGGGCCGATTCTAATAAAACAGAAAATAATTAGTAGAATAACATAATTATTGTGCATGGCTGAACATATAGATTTTCTTTATATTTGACTTGGTTTATTATTTGCTGATTTATCTTTATAAATATTTTGAAGAAAAAATAGCAAGTTAGGAAAAAAAAATTCATGCACCCAAAACAAAAGTGATAATTAGAAACATCTATATGTCATGTTCAAGAGGAGTAAGTTACCTACACTGTACAGGTACTCCTCGACCTACGACCTACTCGACTTACGACCACCCGGACATACAACCGCCGCAGTCGTACCAAAAATTTTTCAAATTACGTATTTTCGAGTCCCAACGTTAGTGATTGCGCTGTGTACCGTACAAAATTTTTGTTTGTAATTCCCTTTAAAATGGCTGGCAAGCTTAAAAGTGAGAGTGTTGTGGTGCTGAGAAGAAAAAGAGACACCCATTTTTGATTTTTTATGTATTATTTTCGCATTTTCGACTTACGACCTGGATTTGGGTCCCTAACCCAGTCGTAAGTTGGGGACTGCCTGTGCTCCACATGAATTTCCACGTAAGAAATTATGGAGAAGTAGGATTTTGAAAATTGATAAGAATATAAGAGAAAAATCATGTACCCTGTACCAGGGATTAGGGATTAGGCAGAACAGATTTAGGGATATAGCAACAGTGTTACCCGGTGTCCTTAATTGCTGACAGGAAATTTATATTAATTGATCAATTAAAAATTTTTGTTCTTCAGCCGGACGCTCCCCTTAATAGAAGTAACTTGGCAGAGTAATAATTTTGTCAACATTATTTTCAATGTTCACCAACGGTATTGCACAATATTTACAATATTTTTTAAAAAAATTAATTCTGGCAACATTCAAGATATTTTATAAGGAACTCAGCTTCCTGTTGATGATTTCCATGTACCTGTATACAAAAGGTTAAGTGAAGCACCAACATGCAGGGCAAAGCAATACAACAGATAAAACTTGAAGCTGGTTTTCACATGCATTTATTTTTCAACTAAATATGTTAGTGCAGTACCATTAAAAAAGTTAGTTAAGCACCAGTGAACAAGGTATCATGCAAAAGTTAGTCAGATTAATAAATCATTCAACAGCTGAACAAATTATATAAACCTGGCTCAGGTAAGTTTCAATTCCAACATCATGAACTGATTAAAAATGGATATACTTGTCAGTAGTATTTTCCAGTTATAATAAAAAGTACTGTTTTATAATCCAAGTAAAAACAAATTACCCGGTACTCATTCAAATAATTTATCAGGAAGTATGTGAAGTAGTAATTCAAAGTACAGTACAACAAGTTATAATTTTAGTAAGGTCATACAGTTTATGACAGCCTTCAAGCTACCTAACTTGGGATAACACATTAAGTGGAGAAATTTGTTCATCTAAGTCACTTAAGAGAAGACTGGGAAAATTTTGAGATCAAAGGGAAGTAATTTTTTTATTATGTGAAGCAAAATGGGAGAAGTATATTTGCCAATGGCTCCATAGTATATAGTATTTATGGATGGGATAAAACATGGGAGAAGTCAGAATATGTCCCTGTGTAAAAAAGGTAAAACATGATTAAATAGAGTGCATTACAATGAAACATGTCAATGTGATGTCCATTTATTAAAAGAATAAGATAAAGCAGAAAATGGTAAAATATTGATCAATCAGAGTACCGTCCTGACATCTGAGAGTTGTCGACCACAGTCCTCCATTCTAAACATTCTTTGACTGTGTTTACCAATTCTCTAAGGTTTTGCATCTCTTTGGGGATCCAGTTTTTAAATTTCATTCATCTATCCCAGTCTCTTCCTTCCCCTGGCCCTCCTACCCTCATCTTTGTCCATCCTCCTTTTCAAACATAAGGTAAATATCTAGATAATAGTCTTGTATATCTCCTGGAAGCACTTAGAACACTTGCTACCATAGCCTTCCATTTTATAGCTAGCACTAAAATTCAAGACTCACCGAGTGATAGCCAGTGGCTACAAATGAAGGACTGATCCTGAAATCTCATTTTATGACTGTGCCTCGAACTAGACATCTCAGATACCCTCCATCCTCCCCTTGGGTAGTGAAGGTCAATTAAAATGTACTATGTTTGTCAACTAACATCGCCATTATGACTAAGCAAGATGAAGGTTAAGTTGTGTATCTGTCACCATGCTGCACAAAAGTCATTGCTTCTTTCTTTAACTAACAAACTGTTGCTTCTAAATGTCCCTTTTGGAACTTGGTTGTAATAGAGAAGCAAACCTAATTCATGAATTAGTCACAGTATATGATGTTCAAAAGTTAAGCCCAGGATTAAAACACAGGACTCATAGCTGAAATTCACAAGTTACCCAGTTCCAGGCTTGACCATAAACTGGGATTCCAGGATCAATCTTTCATTTATGCATCCACTGGAGTGTCAATTGTTTCTCTTACTTTGACAACACAACATACATACAGTATATCGTTTCTCTATTACAGTAGAACCCCGGTTATCCTGAAGATGATATTATAATCCCCAAATCAATCTAATTTCATAAACAAAACATATCATGGTGAAAAGTATTATTTAAAGTCATGCTGTAGCCCTCAAGCCAAGGTGGACACACTTTGAGTACTCATCAGTTACCTGACAACTCTATATTCGTGGTTAGAGTACAAAGAGTGGCCCCTCACAGTCATGCAATAGCAGTAAGAATGATAATCGATCCTAAAGTTTTTCCCAAAGGGTAGCAAAGGGAGGAAGAAGACCAAAGGTACTACAACAGAATGGGGGAGAAGAAATGAAAAGGATGGATCGAAGACAAAGTGAAAGGGAAGTCTATTAGAAGAGGATGGTGCACTGAAGGGTGGATAAGGTGTTTTGCCAGAAAAAAAGTCGGACCTCATACTATTATATCCGGTTGTTGGGAAGAAAAATTAGAGGTTGGATTAACAGGCAAGGGAAAATACTGTATGGAGAAATTCCAAATGGTGTCTGGACAATATCCATCCCACATCATTTGAAGATACAGTACACAGGTAAATGCAACTATACAGTACTGTAATACCAAGTTCAATCTAATGTTGCTGAAAAGGTTATCAAGTACTTATAACATAGTTTCAGATTACTGTTATGTTCATACTGATAGAGCATCCAGTTGACAGGTAAATATGTACTGTAATGTAAAATGGACCAGAACATAGTTAATTCTGTCCTGGCAAGTATATATCAAACAGAACACCAAAGTTTGCATAATATTGTCACACTGTTGAAGTCAAATTCCAAAGATAATCTGGCACATCAATTTTTACAAAGCCACAGTGTACTGTTTCTTCTTGCAAAAAAGAATGAAAAAGCATGCAAGCTAACTGTTTTGAACTTACGAATTACAACAGAGACCAGAGTACTTAGACTATCATTATATTGTGACCGACATTCATACATTCCACTATCTTGTAATTCTAGATTCTTATATGTAAATCCAATTTTCGGATCGAAGGATAATCGTGTGTCACCTGTCACCTTAAAAGGAAAGAAAACCATTAAATCACTAGTTATATATTTTCATGGAGGTGTTCAGGGTAATTGTTATCTTAAAAGTGAAGACAAATGACCATCTGTTGATTCTGCAAATTGCAGCAAAGCACTACAAGAGTTTTAGCTTTCACATCTAGAATGTTAGATAAATTAAGAAAAAAATTCTTAGCACCAAAGTCAGCATTCGTCAAATCTAATGATTATTTAAAAAAGAATTCACAATACAATATTGCAATGTTCTATTATGATCAAGAAGATGTAAACAGACAGTCATTGACATAAGCATGATGACATAAATTTCTTGATTAGATGTAGTTCAACAAGTTTTGTTTTTACTTCAGTTATTTACTTGAATGGATAACTTCATAATTGTACTGTACTATACAAATCTGGCCTATTTCACAAATATTCTAAAAACTCATTGTGTCATGAGTTTTCTATTTTCTGTCTCATCTGACTCTCAGGAACTCCATACACAATTATATTGTTCTTGCACTTACGAGTAGATGATCATTAGGTTCTGCCCCAATATCAGTAAAAGTATTGACTTTTATCTACTCCTCACATTCTTGGAGGGCCTCCAAGTGTTCCTCAGTTCCACATCTCTCACAACATAAGTCCCAGCCATTGGTTAAATGCAGCTTCAAATAAGTAATTTCTCCATTCTATCATTTTCTTTAATTTCTTTATCATCTGGGATTCATTTGCTTACACAGTGAAGGCATGATTGCGACACTTTTAATGCTTATATTTACCTGAACGTTTTTCACAAAGTTAACATGTCATCCCCAACACAAACAATACTCTACAGTACAGTATTACAGTGAAGTCATTATTCAAGCAATTGCACTGACTGGAAACTCAATAAATTGGCAACACCAAACTGTGACCATCAGGAAAAAACATCAGCTTGCTCTACCATTATATTGGCAATTGTGAAAGTGGACACATCTAAAACCTGCAAAGATATATGTACTGTACTGTACAGTAAAGAGCTTAAACTGTACAAGAATATTGTATCTGGTTACTTAGAGTATTTGTAGAAGCTGAAAACATTTAAATTCATTAGCAGCCTTTGTTTAAATATTAGTAATTAATAGCAAGTAAAGTATTTTAAAAAATTAATTTTTATTACAGTAATATTATTCAATTTTGGTGCCATTAGTTGAATCTGCCGGTTACTCAGACTCAGGATAACCGGGGTTCTACTGTAATAATGTATAAAAAAAATTCTTCAAATTATATTTTCATGAAGGCATCAAATAATTAAACTACAGTAACTCCGATGTGAAATATAGAAAAGATGCATAGAAAAAAATAATCAATGAAATGGTGGCATGATAACTAATGATAAAAATTACATGAGTACAGAACTGAAACCACTGGGCTTCAGGAAAAATGAAGAATAAATAACTAGTCTTCAATGTGACTAACAAAGCTAAATGCATGTTATAATGGAGTACATTTCAATGTTTTGGATCAAAAATGTCCTCAAGAGACTCTGTAAACACAAATATCATGATACAGTATTGGGTCAATATCTTGCATAGCATAACTAAGTGACCATCTGATGATATTAAAATATAAATAAATCTAATTACTTTTTGACTCAAGTGAAAACTTATAAAAGATAAATGTGCAAGGGAAGAAAATACTCAGTAAAAGTTACAAGTTATTCAATACTACAGGTAAATGATACCTTTCAATTCCTTAATATTAAGATACAAAATCAAAAGTATAAGATCAATGATTTCCAATCTCAGATAAAGAAGGAAAACTACATCAAAATTTACAAGCACTGTAAAATCCATATTAAATGAAATAATCATAATACAAAGTACAATAGTACATACAGTACTTAAATTATTTTTTAATAAATCTGAAAAGCTTACCTCTTCATCATTTTTGAAGAGCTCAACGGTTATATTTGGCAGAGTAGTACGACACCCAATAATAAGTTCATCCGCTGTTGTGACTCTTTTGTTAGTGAAATCATGATTAACAAGGCCTTGACTCCCATCTGTAAAAAATTTTCACACATTAATTCAGGAAAATTCATAATACGTACTGTAATACACGGTAACCTCCAATACAGTATATGAAGGGATTACACTCACGGAAATATAGTCATTAAATAAAAATAATGTGCACTGATTGGTAGAACCCATGTATTATTTGGGATTATGTTTCAGGAGAATGAAAAATAGTACAGTACAGTACGTATATGGAATTGTAGAGCCAGTGCATTATTGAGGAATGTGTTCCAGGAAAAGAAAATGTTGGTTAACAGGGTGGTTGTTCACACTAAGTTCACCACTATATTACCTGTAAGTATTGTATAACAATAAAGAATAAAACACATTGAAAATGACAGTAGAGCAAATAGGTATCTCTGCACATCCTGGGTGGCCATGTTGACTGTGTCACAGCTGAAAGCTCACATTCTTAAAAAAAAAAAATAATATCAATATGTGATTCTTCTTCATTAAGCAAACATTTGCTTTCAAATGAAGAAAGAGGTGTGAAAATGTAACTTTAGCTAAAAACTAATTTTTGTTTATCGCAGTGGTCTGAGCCACACATGGCATGGGTGATGAGGACATCTTGGTGATCTCTTTCTCTGACAATGATGTAGTCAATGAGATGCCAGTGTTTGGATTATGGGTATTGCCACTAACCCTTGAACTTGTCGGCCTGCTGAAACAAGGTATTGGGGATAGTGAGGTTGTGTGCAGCACACTTGCTGAGGAAGAGTAGGCCATTGGGATTACACTTCCCTAGTCCATTTCTCCCTATGGTTCCTTGCCAAATGTCAGCATCTCTGCCAACTCTGGCATTGAAGTCACCAAGTAGCACAACCTTATCTTCTCTGGAGATAGAGGTTAGCACTCAGTCAAGGTCGGCATAAAAGGCCTCCTTGGTGTCATCCTCTGCATCCAATGTTGGGGAGTCTGCACTGATGAAGAAGGCATGACGTGAGTGATTCAGTGGGACTCAGAGCGTCATGAGGCGCTTGTTGATCCCAACAGGCATTTCAGTTAGCCTGTGTAGGATGCATTGGTGGATGGCAAAACCAACTTCATAAATGGGTTTCTCTCTGCAGCAGGCTTACCCTTCCAGAAGAAGATATAGCTGGACCCTTGCTTTACGAGTCGACCCTCATCTGGCAGCCGGGACTCATTAAAGGTTGCAATGTGAATGTTTAACCTAGACAGCTCTTTTGCCACAAGGGCGGCTCTTTTTTATGGACGCTCATTTGTGCCAGTATCCAGAAGGGTCCTGATATTCCATGCAGCCACCTTAGAGGTTGTATATTTTGTTTTTGTTTTGATCTGTGATTATGATTATATTTTTGACTGCATTAGGTTGACCTTACTGGGTGCGGTTGCCCAGTCAAGTCGTTTTTTTCGGCAGGCTATTTTTAGGGCACCTTTTCTCACTCCCTCCCCATGTGGGGTGAGCAGAGTAGCTCCTGCAAAGGGCTGCTCAGTTGCGCAAACAGGACCGGATTGCAGTGCTGCCTAAATCCCAGTGCATAAACAACCATCTTATCTATGCCACCCATGTGCAGTGTTGTGACTAGAGATTTCCAGCAGTCATCTCTGCCTAGCCCCATCGCCACTCATTTGTCGCCACAGGATTTTTGGGGGTATAGGGGTTTTGACGATGATGAGAAGTAAAATGAGCTGGATGACGGCTGCATGCAAGTTGATTTATGTGTCCACAGGTGTAGTTGTTGGGTTCCCATGTTGGTCACCTCTTCCACCTGTACCGCCATTGGGATCTTGTTGAACTCTGTAAACATGTCTGCCCGATGCTGGGCTCCATTACAGATTTTTCATTCAAGGTTTCCTCGCGTAGCCTTATACCTACTACTATGATTAATCTGCATAGCAGCGGGGCAATGGTTGGTAGGTGCCCGAGCACATCCACATGCCAGTGGACCTGCGCCATCCTCTGGGGCCTACTGCTGCTTGGAGATCCCCTGCTGGCGTAGCCTGGGCCCACGAGGCACCCAGTTACGGTGTGTTGCTACGAGGAGGCACAACAGGAGTCTTGATGGTGGAGAGGTGTACTGGCAAGGGAAGACTTATGCAAGATTGTTTCCCTGTTTACCACAAGGGCTAGCCAGTGGTGGTAGCTGAAAGCGAGGGGAAGCAAGCAGTGCTTGCACCTAACACTAACATAATACTGCCATACTAGATGCATTACACCACCCTGTGTACACACGCACGCACGCACACACACACACACACACACACACACACACACACAGTGTTGTAAACATGTATCAGTTTGATCATACCAAAGACATAGATGTAAGTATGGTCTGCTCGTTCCAAATTAGCTTTGTAGTCTCTGACACCCTCATAGGCACAGAAGTAGAAGCCTGTGTCAATCGATTGTGGTTTTGTCACCTTTAAAAGAGAAAACAGTGTGCATATTATATAAGACCTCCTATTAGTGTGTATATATATATATATATATATATATATATATATATATATATATATATATATATATATATATATATATATATATATATATATATATATATATATATATATATATATATATATATATACTGTACATATATATATACAGGTACTGTCTGTATATATATATAGTATATATATAATTTAAAGCATTAGTTAATAAATTGCATCTACCCTATAAATGAAAACTTAATACTAAGACAGTGCTGCACAATACAGAAATAGTCATTATCAAAATGTAGACCTTGGCTATGGTAAGAATATAAGTAGAGCGTACTCTAAAGGAATCTCTCTTCATTTACCTGTATAAATGAAGGCAACTGTATTTGTATATCTTGTTGATTTGATGCAAGTACTGTACTGTAACAATAATGGAATACAGTAGTGTCGGGATATATCGCGAGATAGGGTCCAACGATGTTCGCTATAGTGTATACCAAATTGCGATATATAATTACAAGTAATCAATGGGGTAAATAGGGTGAGGTTCTGGAGGCCAAAAAAAGTGACTAAACTTGACTTATTGAGTTCATTTTCTTACTAACTAAAGCACCAATGAACACTAGATTCGGGAACAACAGGCAATTTCAACATCACTATCAAGGAACACCAGACTTGGCAGCCGACGCACCATCCTGGGAATACCAGACTCGGCAGTAGACGCCACACTGTCACCCTCACTTGACAATCCCACACCTACATAAACGAACACCAAAAATATAAGTTACAGTATTAAATCTTTTCCATTAAAGCTTTCCATTGTCTTCACTTCACTTTTCACGTCACTAGCAACCCATTTACACTCGCTTTAGAAATTGGAATCTGCACCAGACTAAGCTGCTGATGAGTCATCCCGAGAACAACAGACAACACACTGCCACCCTCGCTTAACGATCATAAACGAACAAACCAAAAATATTAGTTACAGAATTAAATCTTTTCCATTAAAGTTTCCATTGTCTTCACTTCACACGTCACTCGAAACCAGTTTACACTCACCTTAGAAATCGGCTGCTCGCGATATATCCCGACCCTACTGTACTGTAAAATAAAATTATATATGTTAGCCGCTTGGGCTAACACAAATTCAATAGTACGTATTTAAAAATTTGGTTCGGACTATTTTTGTCCCCAAAAATTCTACTGCGCGAGAAAAGATTTTAGTCTCTTGAATACATGACATGTTCTGTCTACCCAACAGTAACTGGGGCCCAGCCTTTTTCTCAGATTGAAGTTAATGTTACTTTTTGTTAGGTCTTTTATATTTTCAAATGTTGTTTTAGCTTGACCTATTCTTACCATTTATTTTGCACATCTATGATTACAGTTAATGTTATGTCCCAATACACAAAAATATTTCAATTGTTTAAGCTCCCTGTTGCCTACCATCAGTAATTTTTATTTTAGGATTTATTTCTGATTTTGAAACAACTATTACTTTTGTCTTTATGGCATTAACTTTGAACACATAGTCACTTATGTACAGTATGGTGAATGTGACAACATAGGGAAATCAATTATGTTTCTGAAAATGCAGGCAGATAAGAGAAGTCACATACATGCTAATGACACCAAGGGGTTGTCCAGTGTGTACTACGAATGTTGAAACAAAGGGAATCAGTTACCTACTGTATAATTAATGTGAATATACAGGGTACAGGAGGAATTTAGCTTAATGTGGGCTGTGTAAATATCAGTTAATACTGTACACCATGAATATGAACTCAGGAAAAATCAATTAAGCACCATGAATGTAAACATAGGATGGCAGATACATACTGTACCAAGAAATAAGAGATGGGAGGCCAATTACATACCGTGAGTGTAGATACATAGGTGTAGTCAGAATGAGGATGGTTCTCATATGAGATTTTCACTACATCAATGTCTTCTTCAGTGAACTGAAACAAGAGAAATCATTACAGTATACAGGGTATATATACTGTATACAGTTTACAGGTATATATATGTATATCTATTACAGTCAAGCCGCATAATCAGGGATTTCACGAAATTATCTTTTTTTTTAGTCAAATAGAGAAATGAATGTTTCAATCGGTTAGGTCAGGTCAGATCCTAACCCAACTTACGTAACATAACAGTATGTCATGTCATATTATGATACATTACATTAGTTAACTTACATTGGGTTAGGTTAGGTTATTTTTCAAATATAATATACAAGGTGGTATTCAGATCATTAAGAGTGGTGTTCAGATCATTAAGAGTGGTGTTCAGATCATTAAGAGTGGTGTTCAGATCATTAAGAGTGGTGTTCAGATCATTAAGAGTGGTGTTCAGATCATTAAGAGTGGTGTTCAGATCATTAAGAGTGGTGTTCAGATCATTAAGAGTGGTGTTCAGATCATTAAGAGTGGTGTTCAGATCATTAAGAGTGGTGTTCAGATCATTAAGAGTGGTGTTCAGATCATTAAGAGTGGTGTTCAGATCATTAAGAGTGGTGTTCAGATCATTAAGAGTGGTGTTCAGATCATTAAGAGTGGTGTTCAGATCATTAAGAGTGGTGTTCAGATCATTAAGAGTGGTGTTCAGATCATTAAGAGTGGTGTTCAGATCATTAAGAGTGGTGTTCAGATCATTAAGAGTGGTGTTCAGATCATTAAGAGTGGTGTTCAGATTATTAAGAGTGGTGTTCAGATCATTAAGAGTGGTGTTCAGATCTAAGAGTGGTGTTCAGATTATTAAGAGTGTGTTTAGACTTCAAGAGTGGTGTTCAGATCACTAAGAGTGGTGTTCAGATTAATAAGAGTGGTGTTCAGACTATTAAGGAGTGGTGTTCAGATTATTAAGAGTGGTGTTCAGATCATTAAGAGTGGTGTTCAGATTATTAAGAGTGGTACCCAGATTTTATTAAGAGTGGTGTTCAGATCATTAAGAGTGGTGTTCAGATCACTAAGAGTGGTGTTCAGATTAATAAGAGTGGTGAAAATTCAGGACTATTAAGAGTGGTGTTCAGATTATTAAGAGTGGTGTTCAGATTATTAAGAGTGGTGTTCAGATTATTAAGAGTGGTGTTCAGATTATTAAGAGTGGTGTTCAGATCACTAAGAGTGGTGTTCAGATTATTAAGAGTGGTGTTCAGATTAATAAGAGTGGTGTTCAGATTAATAAGAGTGGTGTTCAGATCATTAAGAGTGGTGTTCAGATTATTAAGAGTGGTGTTCAGATCATTAAGAGTGGTGTTCAGATCATTAAGAGTGGTATTCAGATCATTAAGAGTGGTGTTCAGATCATTAAGAGTGGTGTTCAGATCACTAAGAGTGGTGTTCAGATTAATAAGAGTGGTGTTCAGATCATTAAGAGTGGTGTTCAGATTATTAAGAGTGGTGTTCAGATCATTAAGAGTGGTGTTCAGATTATTAAGAGTGGTGTTCAGATTATTAAGAGTGGTGTTCAGATTATTAAGAGTGGTGTTCAGATCACTAAGAGTGGTGTTCAGATTATTAAGAGTGGTGTTCAGATTATTAAGAGTGGTGTTCAGATTATTAAGAGTGGTGTTCAGATCACTAAGAGTGGTGTTCAGATCATTAAGAGTGGTGTTCAGATTATTAAGAGTGGTGTTCAGATCACTAAGAGTGGTGTTCAGATTAATAAGAGTGGTGTTCAGATCATTAAGAGTGGTGTTCAGATTATTAAGAGTGGTGTTCAGATCATTAAGAGTGGTGTTCAGATTATTAAGAGTGGTGTTCAGATCATTAAGAGTGGTGTTCAGATCATTAAGAGTGGAATTCAGATCATTAAGAGTGGTGTTCAGATCATTAAGAGTGGTGTTCAGATCACTAAGAGTGGTGTTCAGATCATTAAGAGTGGTGTTCAGATTATTAAGAGTGGTGTTCAGATTATTAAGTGGTGTTCAGATTATTAAGTGATGTTCAGATTATTAAGTGGTGTTCAGAGTATTAAGAGTGGTGTTCAGATCATTAAGAGTGGTGTTCAGATTACTAAGAGTGGTGTTCAGATTATTGAGAGTGGTGTTCCAGATTATTGAGAGTGGTGTTCAGATCATTAAGTGGTGTTCCAGATTATTAAAATTGGTGTTCAGATATTAGAGTGGTGTTCAGATCATTAAGAGTGGTGTTCAGATTATTAAGTGGTGTTCAGAGTATTAAGAGTGAATTGTTCCAGATCATTTAAGGGTGGTATTCCAGATCATTGAGTAATTGTTCAGATTACTTGAAATTAATTGTTCAGATTATTTAGAGTGGTGTTCCAGTTATTAAGAGTGGTGTTCCAGATCATTAAGAGGTGGTGTTCCAGATCATTAAGGTGGTGTTCAGATTATTAAAATTGGTGTTCAGATCATTAAAATTGGTGTTCAGATTATTAAGAGTGGTGTTCAGATTATTAAGAGTGGTGTTCAGATCATTAAGAATGGTGTTCAGATCACTAAGAGTGGTGTTCAGATCATTAAGAGTGGTGTTCAGATCATTAAGAGTGGTGTTCAGATTATTAAGAGTGGTGTTCAGATCATTAAGAGTGGTGTTCAGATCATTAAGAGTGGTGTTCAGATATTAAGAGTGGTGTTCAGATCATTAAGAGTGGTGTTCAGATTAAGAGTGGTGTTCAGATCATTAAGAGTGGTGTTCAGATTATTAAGAGTGGTGTTCAGATCATTAAGAGTGGTGTTCAGATCATTAAGAGTGGTGTTCAGATTATTAAGAGTGGTGTTCAGATTATTAAGAGTGGTGTTCAGATCATTAAGAGTGGTGTTCAGATCATTAAGAGTGGTGTTCAGATTACTAAGAGTGGTGTTCAGATCATTAAGGGTGGTGTTCAGATTATTGAGAGTGTAGAAGGACTGATAAAGAGTTTCAGAGGCAGATTGCAATGTCAAAATTAAAAAAGCAAGCAGGCAGATTCTGACCAGGACAAGGCAGAGCCGTTGAACTAATTCTTTTCCTCGGTGTTCACAATCTTCCTGCATTAGAGGAAAGACAGTTTGACACAGTGCTGACCCACATTGTGTTCTCAGAAGAGGGTATAAGAAATAAATTTTCATAAGAGTCCCAGCACTGATATGGTACACCACAGAGAGCTAAGAGAACTGTCTAATGAGCTTGTGGTGCCCCTTAAGATCCTGTTCTGTAAATGCCTGAACAAGCAAAAGGTCCCGGAGACTGGAAAATGACTTGTGCGAGTCCTATATTCAAGAAGGGCGATCGTCATTCCACGAATAATTATAGACCGGTGAGCCTGACCAGCATCGTGTGTAAAGTACTAGAGAGCATTATAAGAAATCCAAGATGGAACATCTACTATGTAACAACTGGTGTTATGCTGGGTCGCTCCTGCTTAACACAATTTCTCCAGGTCCTGAATGTTTGGACTCAAATTCTAAAACAAGGCGGTAATATTGACAAAATATATATTGTACCTAGATTTTCCCAAGACTTTCAACAGCTAACCCCAAGAAAGGCCGAGAATTAAACAGGAAGGTTACGGGATTTGGGGAAATGTCCTAGCGTGGGTCGGAGACTTTCTTCACGATCACAAGCAGTGTGTCGTGATTAATGGCATGAAATTGTCAGGTGTACCTGTGACAAGCAGGGTACCACAGGGCTGTGTATTAAGCCTGTTGTTGCCAGAAGCTATACATTCCTCCATACAAATACTTGTGGACAATGCCAAGTTATTCAGGGAACTTAAAAACTAAACAGACTAAAGAACTACAGAAATATCTCTGTCAGCTTCAAGAATGGTCAAAGAAATGACTGTTCATAATGCATATTTAACTACTGTAGTCCTCAGTGGGGTGTACTTACTAGTGGCACTGGAAAGTCTATCCAGCCAGATGGTGGAAATTTTTGGTATCCAGCATCAGGCCAGATAGCCAGGTATTTAATTTTTTTTTTAACTTTATACAGTACAAGTACTGTAGTAGGTAGTAGGTATTAGGCAGCTATCAAACAGGGAGGTACTACCGCCTGGGAAGATATTGGAAGCATAATGTGTTGTCTAATGGTAGACCCTGCTGCCATATGGCATAAAGAAAATGTGACCAAGTCCCAGGTTGCTGATCTGACTTTCTGCCTCATTTACTCACAATTGCAGGGTCTCAATTGTTTCTCTTACTATTGACAACACAATATATATTGTGTTCTTTATTATTTTTATTTTTATTATTATTATTACAAGGTTGTTATTATTATTATTATTATTATTGTTATTATTATTAATTTATTGTTATTTTTAATTATGTATTTTTATTATAATTTTATTTACTATGAATTATTATTATTATTATTATTATTACAGTTGTACCCAGCTTAACGCGGTTTCACTTAACGCGATTTCTCATATACGCGGTGCCTCGCCAGAACCGAACTTTCACTTAACGAGGTTCATCTACTCATATACGCGGGAAGCGACGCGGACACGATGCGCACAAGGTCGCCCAGTCATCAAAACATTACCGAGTTCTTCACCCGCCACCCACCACAGCCGGCCCAAGTCAGTGATAGTGATAATTATAGTGAGGATATGGACTTATATGGACTTTGAGGGGTTTGACAAAGAGGCCCTGCAAGCCTCTGTGGTGGATAGTGATACAATTGATACAAGTGATACAGGTGAGGGCCAATAATCTGCCCTCTGCCTCGGAAACCAACCCCCCATCCCTGTGTGCCCAGCCATCTTTTCCACTAATGTAAGTGTTAAAAAACCTAATATTACCGTATTGATATTTCTCTTAATTATTAATTGTGTGTGCATACCATCATAAAGTTAAGATAATATTTTTACTACAACATAGTTGTGTGTCGTCAAAAAGTGGAGTTTGGGGGTCGGGCCAGTCTCTATTGGAATTAATCCCATATGTTCTGTTGTTCACTTAACGTTTGCTCTCTATACAGTAATTTCATATTTTTGCTCAACTGTCTGGAGGGCAGAAGGTGAGCTGTAGCTGTCCAAATGCTGTAATGTGTTTGCTGTGGTTGTGGTGTTTGTTGTGTGCAAGTTTTGGTGTGCCTTCCCTGTACAGTAGAGCAATGTTCTACTGAGTAGTTGGTACGAAAGGTGTTTCTGTTATACCGTATAAACCAGTAATTGTATTGTACTTGGGAAGATACTACTCTGGCAGAAACTATTGTTGATTAAATGCAGATATTACTGGTTTGGCACTGAGCAAAGTTTAGGATAACCTTATGCTTATATTCTGTAGGTACTGTAGTGCTTTGTTGCTAAATTACTGGTGAAAGTTGTTGTTGTAATTATGTCAATCAGTACTGTATTGTACTTACTGTACTTAAATAGTAAGGCTGGTGAAACAATTGTGATTTTTTATACCTGTAGTTCATACTGTAAATATTTATGTTTGAAGGGCATGACCCATGTTTGGTATCTTTTTTTTCTTTATCGCCTGTACAGTATTTATTTTATTGAGGGTACTTACTTTATTGGTGTACACTTACAGTGTACCTTTTTGGGGATACTTACATCAGCAGTCCAGCTCCAGTGCATTTTCGCGGTGCCCTCACAGCGGAGGCTAAAGAACTCGTCCTGAGGTCCAACTATTAGTTCCTCAGTCACATTGAGGCGGGGAGGCTTAATGCTCCAAGTTGACCCAACTGTGGAGACGACAGTGCATTATTATATTGTTGCTATAAGTAAACTAATAACACCACATTTATCAATCACTATGTGAGAACAGTCACCACTGAATGTATATCAGCCTCAAGAATATAAGTTTTAAACGGATGGGGAATAAAATATTTGCAGAGTAATTATACGTAAGAACCCAGCCTAAGGCTAAGGATAACGACATTGCTAAATGCAATCTTCTTGCATAGAAAATTTTCAAACTCACACATCCTGAATAACATCCTCAATCTTTACACTATTTCATAATGAGAAGGACCTTGGGCGGTCGGTCAAGTCTCTGTTATGCAATGTTGGCAAGTACTGGGCATGCAATGGCTCCTGAATATATCTGAACCTGCTCCAGTGTAGGTCAAGTCTGGCCTTGAATGAGCTCACACTAGTTGCCGTCACAACACTCTCACGAAGATTATTCCAAGAGTTCACAATTCTCACTCCGAAAAAGTTTGCCCTCACAGTTTTCTGGACTTGTGACTCCTTCAACCTTGAGCTGTGATCCTTTGTGGGACAAACGTCCACCAGCTCCAGGTATGTACATTCGACCGAGTAGTGCCCCCTGAGATGTTTATACACTTTGATTAATTATAAGCTAGGCAGCAGGCATTCAAATCTCTCTGGGTAACTTAGGTTCCGTAGAGCAAGCACCAGTCTGGTGGCCCTCCTGTGGACAATTTAAATTTATTGACAGTCTCTAGCAACCTCGGGGACCAGATGAGGTGTGAGGAACTCCAGATGGGGAAGCACCTTACTCTTGGAGATAGTGTCGAGTGACGGACCATCCTGATATCTAAACGACCTTCTTATAAGACCTACTAGTTTCGTTGCCCGATTCACCTTCTTCTCACAATGGCCTGACAACTTAAGTTCAAAGTCGACATACAGTACACATCCAGGTCCTTTTCACATTCAGTCTCAATTAATGCAGTTTCTTCGTCCTGTTGGGACATTGGGGGATTTCCTCCTTTTCCCATATAATATCCAGGAGTGAGTGGAGATGGCTGGTAAGCAGAGGTCCTCCTGCTTTATACATCTCGGCCAGGATTCCATCAGGCCCCATGGCTTTGTTATTTTTTATTTGTTTGATGACAGTAGCAACCTCATCAGGGGATGGAGGAGAGCCGAGGTGGATCAGCTCTGGTGTTGAAACTTCTTCTGGAAGCTTGTTGTCATCACCGTTTTGAGCCGATGTGAAGGGAAAGTTTGGCTTTGATGAGCCGATAATCTGTGTCACAGTGGTCTGAGCCACGCATGGATCAGGTGATGAGGAGGACATCGCAATTTCTTTCTCTCACAATGATGTAGTCAATGAGATGCCAGTGTTTGGATTGTGGATGTTGCCAAGAACCCTTGAACTTGTTGGCCTGCCTTAACAAGATGTGAGGTTGTGTTCAGCACACTTGCTGAGGAGGAGTAGGCCGTTGGGATTTCACACACACACACACACACAAACATTTTCTTCGCCACTGGTCGACTCCTCGCCGGTCAGTCATTTCTGATACACACTCCAGTATTGACAAATACATAGTAGGCCTAGAATGTACACGTATACCTGAACATGGGACAGTTTTGGTCAAGTCTTTCCTTAAGTAAGCTCACTCTCGGTGCCATCACACAACATTCTCTGGCAGGTTATTCCAAGACTTCACAACTCTTACTCCTAATAAGTTACCTTTAACAAATTTCTGTACGCATGGCTTCTTCAACTCGAGGCTGTGACTTCTAGAGGGGCAGGCATTCATTAGTTCCAGCTACAAACACTTGTCTTAAGTAATGTCTTTTGAGGTGCTTCTATTAAATCACAACTTGTCCATCTATACCTGCAGTATATAAGCTAGGCTATTGAAGATGTTCTAATCTCTCTTGGCATGCATGATGATTATAATATTTACATGGCAGCACTACATAAGGACACCTGTGGCCGATTTAGAGCATTGCAGTTCATACCAGTTTAGCATGGTTCAGAGAATCACGATTCACCAGTTCAAAGCCATAGCCTTGCTTGGCTGGTGTGGCAAGCCTGGCTCCGCTGTGGTAGGAGTTGCAAGTACTATAATAAGACACGATGAGTTTACTGAAGGGTTATCAGCAAAGCGGCAAGAAGATGGGGTAGACATGTGCTCTGTTTGGACCGACTGGTAAGACTGCTTGCTGAGTGACCCGGCAGGCCTACTCATGTTGATATGGTTTACTACCCTGCGGGTAGTTTAGGGTTGGAAAATGAGAAAAACAAACACCTGGAATGTACGGTTTGGGACTTTTCCGACTAGTGCACTCGACGTTGTCAATCCACTTCTCCGAGAGGTGTGAACCCCGGGAGTATCGACTCGTGAATCCGAATCATTCACGAGTAAGGAAGAAGGGGGGAATGAAGGGGGCAGGTGTGTGACGGGGAGTGGGTTATGGGGGTTGAGGAGGGCTAGAGGGATGGGAGAGGGTTAAGGAGTTGCTTGTCAAGTTACAACACAGTGTTTATTAAATAAGGGTGTAAATACGCACAGTAAAACACAAATTATGCGTAGATATATTACCGCACACTATGGTGGTATTCTCAGTTTGTGCTAAAGGTCTGAGCGATTCTATGCAAATTTATTGTTTTTTTTATATACATCTGTCAGCTAATCTAGGGGTGATGGGGAGAAATGTCGAAATCAAATTAAAATTTTCGAAAAAATATCTTTTTTTTTTTTACTTCATTCGGTAACATTTTAGTTTTGATCATCTGGGAAATCTTAGGAATTTAACTATACAGTACTGTATTGGAAATAGTAGGAGTCTGGTGGGTGATTAGTGTGTATACCCCAGGGGAAGGTGCTCGTGTCTGAAGGTGGTGTGTGTGTGTGTAAACGATTGCTCCCGTGCTGTGGTTGTGGAGGAGGACACCGCGGCTCCAGACAGTGATGATCATTGACACACCGCAACAGCCGGGTCCAAGCTGAGTACGGGACCATTCTCCTTCAAGAAGTTTTTGGAGGGGAAATTGTTAATGCATTTCGCTATTTAGACTATATTGGGATATTATTCTAGAAATATCGGCTTACGAACCTAAATTGTATGTCAGTGTAATGTTATGTTAGGGTTAGGTAAGGTAAGGTAGTTTTTTTTTTTTTTACTTTTTATTCCACATTTTCCCCATTTTTCAATAATAATCATCATTTCTAACACACTGCCAAAGCAAGAGCTCTTGAACACATGCACAATAAACTAATTGCTGTCTGCGGCAAAATTAAAAAAACTCAATTCAGAGTCCGCCTACCTATCCTTCCCTACGACGTGGAGTGGGCCTACTTTCCTATCCCTGTTCGCCTGTCAGTTGGTTCCTGGGCCTCATAGGCCCAGTTGCCCCACCACTTACCTGTCCACTAGTGTCTAGCTGCACAGGAAGTGGGTGCTCGTACCTGCCAAGTGGAACTGCTTCTTAGTGTACCCAACTAGAGTGCTGTTATTGGGAAGCCATTTCCGATGCCATGGACGTCAGCTGTTTTGCCACTGACCCACTGCCATTATCTTAGTGTTTTCTGTGACGTGTAGGTGTGCTGTTAGTGTTCTTGTACAGTATTAAGAGTGAGTGTAAACTTTTTTTTATATAATTTTACACCAAATAAAGCTAACCATTAGCGTTGGGGCCCAGTCCTAATGGCTACTTTAGGTATGAGCACATTTGATGCCCTAACTATGTGGTCAGCCCACGTGCAGAGACAACACACCCAGGGAGAAAGAGAACTCACCTTGCCATAGCAGAAGCACCGGGAGTATAGAGAAGACCTTCATATTAGCAATGGCCTTTATAACGTCATTGACGACGCAGCAACTTCTGGAAGAAAAACAAATCCACAAATTGTATTATTGAGGTAGCTTCTTCACACATTCATTTGGAAGTCTATCATTTACGAGTAACTGGTCTCCCTAGAGGTCCAGCAAGGGCCATTCCCATGGGTCTAGTCTTAGTACAGGAAGATAGTTGAATACCCACAGAAAACTAACATTGTTCAGCAAGGTCACACTGCACAACACCCATCTCGCATCCAACCTAAGTAGGTCTGAAATATGAGTCAAATTGGAGAGAGACAAACTGAACTGCTGAAGTGTAGTTTGTTTTATTATTCACTTATCATACATGTATTATTTTTGCTAATAATCGACATATTGTGGAGCCTACAAGAATTCCAAGTAAAATAATATTTCTTAGTGTTATTACAATGACATATACAGGTATGGAATATGTGGATTACAATATAACGTGACTAGGCTGTAGATCCTGCCGAATGAGATTTTTCCTATAGCTACTATACACCAGTACTTCTTATACTTTATCAGTGCCATACACACTTGAGTCATTATCACAAGCTTTCATTCACCCCGACTTCACCTCCTTATGATTTGTTAATCGTCCATTTTCCTGTCTCTTTATATACATGAATCACGCCATTTAAAAATGCAACATAATTTACTTTCTTAAGTTTCCTTTTTTTACCACCTGAACAAATCTGAAAAACAATGAACGACAAGCTTCACACACCAGTAAACATATCTAAACCGGTTTGGAACATCAATGGCTGGGGTGTCCCTGTGACAAGCTTCTCAAATCGGGGCCCAATATCCATCTCCAAAGCGGAGGCCCCGCATAAACGTCTAGGTGAGAATTTTGTTTCTAACGTTTCAGTTCTACCAATATGGAGACAAAATTTTTCAGACAGTTACGTAGCTGCCGTCACCACTAATACTTGAAGGGTTTCCATGGCAATTGATTAGTATTCAGGGAACTGGAGCAACCAACCCAATAGCTTCCACAGTACGAGTACATTTCAAAAGATGCTTTTTGGGTGAAGTCATGAAGCTTCATCAACAACCCTGTGATCTCCCGGACATGCGCCCGCTTGATGTGGCCGATGATGAAAGGATTGACCAGCCACATTATCGTCCTCAAAGGGTTAAGTCTGCATCCTCAAAGGGTTAAGTCAGCATCCTCAAAGGGTTAAGTCAGTGTCCTCAAAGGGTTAAGTCAGTGTCCTCAAAGGGTTAAGTCAGCATCCTCAAAGGGTTAAGTCAGCATCCTCAAAGGGTTAAGTCAGCATCCTCAAAGGGTTAAGTCAGTGTCCTCAAAGGGTTAAGTCAGTGTCCTCAAAGGGTTAAGTCAGCATCCTCAAAGGGTGAAGTCAGTGTCCTCAAAGGGTTAAGTCAGCATCCTCAAAGGGTTAAGTCAGTGTCCTCAAAGGGTTAAGTCAGTGTCCTCAAAGGGTTAAGTCAGTGTCCTCAAAGGGTTAAGTCAGTGTCCTCAAAGGGTTAAGTCAGTGTCCTCAAAGGGTTAGGTCAGTGTCCTCAAAGGGTTAAGTCAGTGTCCTCAAAGGGTTAAGTCAGTGTCCTCAAAGGGTTAAGTCAGTGTCCTCAAAGGGTTAAGTCAGCATCCTCAAAGGGTTAAGCCGGCATCCTCAAGAGGTTAAATCTGCTCCTTAAAGGGTTATATCTGCATCCTCAAAGGGTTAAGTCAGCATCCTCAAAGGGTTAAGTCAGTGTCCTCAAAGGGTTAAGCATCCTCAAGGGTTAAGTCAGTGTCCTCAAAGGGTTAAGTCAGTGTCCTCAAAGGAGTTAAGTCAGTGTCCTCAAAGGGTTAAGTCAGTGTCCTCAAAGGGTTAAGTCAGCATCCTCAAAGGGTTAAGTCAGCATCCTCAAAGGGTTAAGTCAGTGTCCTCAAAGGGTTAAGTCAGTGTCCTCAAAGGGTTAAGTCAGTGTCCTCAAAGGGTTAAGTCAGTGTCCTCAAAGGGTTAAGTCAGCATCCTCAAAGGGTTAAGTCAGCATCCTCAAAGGGTTAAGTCAGCATCCTCAAAGGGTTAAGCATCCTCAAGGGTTAAATTATAAAGGGTTAATCTGTCCTCAAAGGGTTAAGTCAGCATCCTCAAAGGGTTAAGTCAGCATCCTCAAAGGGTTAAGTCAGCATCCTCAAAGGGTTAAAGTCCAGCATCCTCAAAGGGTTAAGTCTAAGTCATCCTCAAGGGTTAAAGTGTCCTCAGTCAGTCTCCTCAAAGGGTTAAGTCAGTGTCCTCAAAGGGTTAAGTCAGTGTCCTCAAAGGGTTAAGTCAGTGTCCTCAATGGGTTAAGTCAGTGTCCTCAATGGGTTAAGTCAGTGTCCTCAAAGGGTTAAGTCAGTATCCTCAAAGGGTTAAGTCAGTGTCCTCAAAGGGTTAAGTCAGTGTCCTCAAAGGGTTAAGTCAGTGTCCTCAAAGGGTTAAGTCAGTGTCCTCAAAGAGTTAAGTCAGCATCCTCAAAGGGTTAAGTCAGCATCCTCAAAGGGTTAAGCCGGCATCCTCAAGAGGTTAAATCTGCATCCTTAAAGGGTTATATCTGCATCCTCAAAGGGTTAAGTCAGCATCCTCAAAGGGTTAAGTCAGCATCCTCAAAGGGTTAAGTCAGCATCCTCAAAGGGTTAAGTCAGCATCCTCAAAGGGTTAAGAGCCACCTGCCTCCTGACCAAGTACTTTTGTTATGGGGTGTACGACGCCATTTACGATGACCTTCTTGCCCTGATCTTTTTTTCAGCAATATCGCCTTTAACACATATGGAACGTTGCACTTTTCGAAGCTTTGGAGGAGTCTCAAAACAAGTTTCCTGGTGGGAATTATAAGCTAATACTGTACTCAAAATATCGAAACTTCGAGATCTCTCCAGAGCTTCGAAAAGGTGGTCTTCATAAAACAAGATCAGGGCAAGAAGGTCATCGTAAATGGCGTCGTACACCCCATGACTGTTCTTGAATACGGACAGACGACTGGGAGAATTTTAGGTCTTACCTCCCTGAGTATTGTTTTTTTTCTTCTACTCTCTCTTAACCCTTGAGTACGGTGACATTATATTCAGATGCTTAAGTTATTGTACTCAAGGGGTTGAATCATCGTACTAAAGGGGCTAAATCATCGTACTAAAGGGGTTAAATCATCATACTAAAGGGGTTAAATCATCGTACTCAAGGGGCTAAATCACCCCATTAAAGGGATTAAATCATCGTACTAAAGGGGCTAAATCATCGAACTAGAGGGGCTTAATCATCGTACTCAAGGGGCTAAATCATCGTACTCAAGGGGCTAAATCATCGTAATAAAGGGGTTAAATAATCGCACTATGAGATAAATTATCATACTAAGGGGGTTAAGTTATCGTAGTAAAGGAGTCAAAACTACTCAAAAAGATTTTTGCCTCCTGTCCGCGCCCACTCCTGTGTCTGAACTGTCTCCACCAGGGCTATCTGGACCTGAGGACACCACCCCCGGCTACCTGTACCCCACCGACATGTCGACCCACACAATTACACTAAAAGGTGTGTCCCTCAATGTTGTCAATACCTATGTGCCTCCCTCCACCCCTACTGTACCTGCCCCACCACACCATATCACCTCCACCACCCCCACTGTACTTCGCCACGCCTGGCCTGGCCGCACTGTTTGTAAACTTTGTGGTCAACCGACTCTCACACCCTCTTTCACCACATCCTCATTTGCCCTATGACCTCCTCCTACAGGTCCCCAGCCGTTACCAACACCTCTTCCCTCCCTGACCAGATATCCCTCCTCCTAGTGACAGGCCTGGCACTTGACATTATTAGGGACCTGCCACACTTTGCCATAAACAGATGAATTGTACCGGGAATTTCCCCCCACACACTCATCATTGTCACTTTATGTAACTTGCTGACAAAACCCATGACCCTTCAGGCCTTTACGCCCTTAATGCAGGAGTCATAAAGGCAAGCATGAACTCCGCATGCTTCCCAGTTGGGCGCTGTAAACGCTTCTGCGCTTCACCTTGCACAGGATGTAAGGGGGTGCCCAATAAACTAGCCCCCTCGTGGGCAATCTGTAATCTGTATCGGCCTGGGGTTCGAATATTTTACAATGATGATGATAATAATAATAATAATAATAATAATAATAATAATAATAATAATAATAATAATAATAATAATCATAATAATAATAATAATAATCATAATAATAATAATAATAATAATAATAATAATAATAATAATAATAACAATAATAATAATAATAATAATAATAATAATAATAATAATAATAATAATAATTATAACCATAAATTAACAATCAATAAAAAATATAGATAAATTAATAATAATAATCATAAATAAATAAAAAAAATTAAACAATAATATTAATTATTACTATAAATTAATAATCAATAAAAAATATAGATAAATTAATAATAATAATCATAAATAAATACGAAAAAAAAATCTAGAAACGATATATACTGCATGTACGTTGTGTTGTCAAAGTAAGAGAAACAATTGAGACCCTGCAATTGTGTGTAAATGAGGCAGAAACTCAGATCAGCAACCAGGTACTTGGTCACATATGGCAGCAGGGTCTACCATTAGACAACACATTATGCTTCCAATATCTTCCCAGGCGGTAGTACCTCCCTGTTTGGTAGCTGCCTATTACCTATAAAGTATAGTAAAAATATTTACTATTGACTTTAGAATATCTCCTAATATCAAGTGCGCATGGCTTCAAAATGGCCTCATAATGCCCATAATATTAGCTGGGTGGGCTCACTGCGGTCGCCATGTTCCCCCACCCACAACGACTTGGACCCCCCCTTTTGATCCGCCCCTGGACCCACTTTCTTCCTAAATTTCCAAGATGAAAATTTAGTGAAAACATAACATACTCTCACACACACACGCACACATACACATACTCAGCATATCCGAACATTTCTACTCCCAACAAACTCCCCCGCACACTCACAAGCACCCAAACGCCTTTACAAACACATACACCAAAATAACCCCCACACAC